AAACACAACATTGTCATTGATGGGGAAACACAGCATTGTCATTGATATAAAAACACAGCATTGTCATTGATGGGGAAACACAGCATTGGCATTGATGGGGAAAACACAGCATTGTCATTGATATGAAAACACAACATTGTCATTGATGGGGAAACACAGCATTGTCATTGATGTGGAAACACCACATTGTCATTGATATAAAAACACAGCATTGTCATTGATGTGGAAACACAACATTGTCATTGATGGGGAAACACAGCATTGTCATTGATGGGGAAACACAGCATTGTCATTGATGGGGAAACACAGCGTTGTCATTGATGGGGAAACACAGCATTGTCATTGATGGGGAAACACAGCATAGTCAATGATGTGGAAACACAGCATTGTCATTGATATAAAAACACAGCATTGTCATTGATGGGGAAACACAGCATTGTCATTGATAAGAAAACACAGCATTGTCAATGATGGGGAAACACAGCATTGTCATTGATGGGGAAACACAGCATAGTCAATGATGTGGAAACACAGCATTGCCATTGATATAAAAACACAGCATTGTCATTGATGGGGAAACACAGCAATGTCATTGATATAAAAACACAGCATTGTCAATGATGGGGAAAACACAGCATTGTCATTGATTGGAAATCACAGCGCTGTCATTATGGGGAAGACACATTATTGTCAATAAGTAAAATACAAACCATTTTCAGAGATAGGAAGACACGGTATTTTCAATGACAGGGATGCACAGGACTAGCATTGATGTAAAGTTATAACATTTTCAGTAACTGAAACAACTTTGTCAATGAATTACCTTACACGGTCTTATATCACTGAAACAGTTAGGAGAATATGTTGCAACAAAAGCTGATACACTGGATATACCTTCAACCAGTTAGCATAAATGCATCATTAGTTATATCATATATTGAGATAAGCTACACAGCAACATCAAAATATCTAAATCAGAATATTTTTATGGTGAAGTTTGTAAAATAAATTACTTTACCTCCAAGAATAAGACACCCATTGAATTTGTTGCTAAACATGCCTCGCACATTGCTGTAAAAAGCCTCTCTTTTCTTCTTGTCATCGTCCAGATTGATACCGAATGCGCATGTACAAACTACCCGAAGGGCATATGTGGAAAAGTATCTGAATAAAAGAGAGAATCAACAGTTAGAACTATAAAATTATAAAAGTGTCATGACTGTTGTTAACATTTGTAACGTGGTATACACTTGACAATTTCTAGTAAGTCCATCGTCCAGAACATGGGAACATTCCTAAAAAACTAAAACCCGGTTTTCTCGCGATTATAAACGTTTCAATAGAGCTCTAGAATGCTTCCCATACATGTTTGTCATGCATAAAGAGTTGATCGATGAAATTATCAAAGTTATACGATCAAAAGGCTGATACATCGACGACATCCGCTATTTAAATCTGGGTAAAATCTGGGTAAAATCTGGGTAAAATCAAAGACATGACACGTCCTCATAACAAAATTTAGATAGTATCAACAAAACTCCAAGGCACAATCAAGAGCATGATAAAACAAAAGACATGGACTTGCATTTTACACAATGAATAGTATCGTCCCAATGAGATCAAAATGGCCACCATATTAATTGCCCATTTTTTTCATAAGCCTAAACCTTAGAAAATCTGTCTAGTAAATTTGCCTTTTCAGAAGTCGACATATATCACGGAAATTAATATATTTGAAGTAAGTCTTTGAATACTCAATCTAATACGACATGTACACACAGAAGAATGGGAAAGCAGCTGTTACTCTAGTTGTCATTTAAGGAAAGGAAAGTTCATTACTGGCAAAACGAAATCGTCCCGCTGACCGTACAAGTTGGTAGTGAATTTAAGTAAAGTTCGACGTAAACGGCTTATCAGCACAATAGTCTGTACTGTCCTTGATTTCAGGGTCAGTAGGGATATTTGTTATTGCATTTTGTTATTAGTTGAATCAAAGTTGATATAAACAAATGGCTCACTCAGTCATAGCTTGACAAAAGGACCAGTCGGCCGTGAAACGTTGTCAGACGATTGATACGTACATTGTCTGTGTATAAAGTAACACTTTTATCCAACATATCTCTAAACAGGTGCATCTTACTGAAGATGTTAGTAGTAATAGTATAATAATTAAAAACAGGAAAATAAGTATAGCTCATTAACAATTAACAAACCATATCAGTATATCAATAATTTTAAGTATAATACACTTAAATGCTGAAATGATATTGAAATTAATAGAAAAGTATAGAAAACTGGATCATGGATATGAAATGTGATATTATTTTCGATTTCGGCTCAGTAAATATCTTCGTCGCAGAACAACATAAAGCCATATTAATATCTTCACAAAATTGTAAAGTTCATAAACATTTTACAGGTAATACAAGGGTGAAGGGAGGGGTCATATCACTTAATGTAATACGGGCAGGGGAATGGCAGGTTTATACTGCTGAAACAAGAATGAACATAATAGAAATGTGCATTATTTCGACTTGTGTTATTGTGATTTACTCTCAAATGTAGAGTGAAATATAACTCACACTGGTACATTCTTTTAGAAAATAACAGCAAGCTTGTGTTATTGTGATTTACTTTCAAATGTATAGTGAAATATAACTCACACTGGTACATTCTTTTATAAAATAATAGCAAGCATGTGTTATTGTGATTTACTTTCAAATGTATACTGAAATATAACTCACACTGGTACATTCTTTTATAAAATAATAGCAAGCATGTGTTATTGTGATTTACTCTCAAATGTATAGTGAAATATAACTCACACTGGTACATTCTTTTAGAAAATAACATCAAGCTTGTGTTATTGTGATTTACTTTCAAATGTATCGTGAAATATAACTCACACTGGTACATTCTTTTATAAAATAATAGCAAGCTTGTGTTATTGTGATTTACTCTCAAATGTATAGTGAAATATAACTCACACTGTTACATTCTTTTATAAAATAATAGCAAGCATGTGTTATTGTGATTTACTCTCAAATTGATAGTGAAATATAATTCACACTGCTACATTCCTTTAGAAAATAATAGCAAGCTTGTGATATTTCAGTAATGAATTATCTCCACAAGTGTTCGTCAAAGGAAATATGGACTGATCACCAGAGCTAAACGTCATCAGCATATCTGTACAAAACTACATATATACTAAAATCAGTATCAAAAGATGATATAAGCTATACATAGTTTTGTTGGTGTGTGTACCTACGATTTAGGGGTGATGATATAAGCTATATATAGTTTTGTGTGTGTGTACCTACGATTTAGGGGGGATGATATAAGTTATACATAGTTTTGTTGGTGTGTGTACCTACGATTTAGGGGTGATGATATAAGCTATACATAGTGTTGTTTGTGTATGTACCTACGATTTAGGGGGGATGATATAAGCTATACATAGTTTTGTTGGTGTGTGTACCTACGATTTATGGGTGATGATATAAGCTATACATAGTTTTGTTGGTGTATGTACGTACGATTTAGGGGTGATGATATAAGTTATACATAGTTTTGTTGGTGTGTGTACCTACGATTTAGGGGAGATGATATAAGCTATACATAGTTTTGTTGGTGTGTGGACGTACGATTTAGGGGTGATGATATAAGCTATATATAGTTTTGTGTGTGTGTACCTACGATTTAGGGGGGATGATATAAGTTATACATAGTTTTGTTGGTGTGTGTACCTACGATTTAGGGGAGATGATATAAGCTATACATAGTTTTGTTGGTGTGTGTACGTACGATTTAGGGGTGATGATATAAGCTATAGATAGTTTTGTGTGTGTGTACCTACGATTTAGGGGTGATGATATAAGTTATACATAGTTTTGTTGGTGTGTGTACCTACGATTTAGGGGTGATGATATAAGTTATACATAGTTTTGTTGGTGTGTGTACCTACGATTTAGGGGAGATGATATAAGCTATACATAGTTTTGTTGGTGTGTGTACCTACGATTTAGGGGAGATGATATAAGCTATACATAGTTTTGTTGGTGTGTGTACCTACGATTTAGGGGAGATGATATAAGCTATACATAGTTTTGTTGGTGTGTGTTCCTACGATTTAGGGGTGATGATATAAGCTATACATAGTGTTGTTTGTGTATGTACCTACGATTTAGGGGTGATGATATACACATGTAAGCTATACATAGTTTTGTGTGTGTGTACGTACGATTTAGGGGTGAGGATATAAACTATACATAGTTTTGTTTGTGTATGTACCTACGATTTAGGGGTGATGATATAAGCTATACATAGTGTTGTTTGTGTATGTACCTACGATTTAGGGGTGATGATATAAGCTATACATAGTTTTGTTGGTGTGTGTACGCACGATTTAGGGGTGATGATATAAGCTATACATAGTTTTGTTGGTGTGTGTACGTACGATTTAGGGGTGATAATATAAGCTATAGATAGTTTTGTGTGTGTGTACCTACGATTTAGGGGTGATGATATAAGTTATACATAGTTTTGTGTGTATGTACCTACGATTTAGGGGTGATGATATAAGCTATAGATAGTTTTGTGTGTATGTACCTACGATTTAAGGGTGATGATATAAGCTATACATAGTTTTGTTGGTGTGTGTACCTACGATTTAGGGGTGATGATATAAGCTATACATACTTTTGTTGGTGTGTGTACCTACGATTTAGGGGTGATGGTATAAGCTATACATAGTTTTGTTGGTGTGTATACCTACGATTTAGGGGTGATGATATAAGCTATACATAGTTTTGTTGGTGTGTGTACGTACGATTTAGGGCTGATGATATAAACTATACATAGTTTTGTATGTGTACGTACGATTTAGGGGTGATGACATAAGCTTTACATAGGTTTGTTGGTGTGCGTACCTACGATTTAGGGGTGATGATATAAGCTATACATAGTTTTGTTGGTGTATGTACCTACGATTTAGGGCTGATGATATTGTCTGTAGCTGCAGCTATTTCCAGCTCACTTGTGACACTGGCTGCACAACTGTTAACACTTGTAGTCATCTAAAAAATATAATTTAATAGATATTGTAGATTTGTTCTTGTTTTGCGAAATTCATCCTTTTTCCAGATAATATCGGCCGATTTTCAGGGACGGCGAGAAAAATCCACTTAAAGGTGTAAACAGGTTATAAATGTCTTTTATCGTTATATAGATATGTGATATGTCAAACTCAGTCTTTGTCGCAATCAATTCTTGCTAGGCCCCATATCAGTGATAATGGACATTTTACAAGTATCTTCATAATTGGCTCAGAGAGAAATAAAACACAAAACATATGTAAATATATCAACATTTAAGTAGGAAATACACAGGTCCAGCGGATATAAAATATATGTCATCACATAATGACAAAATATACCACAACGTCAATACATAATGACCAAATATACCACATCGCCAATACATAATGCCACAATATACCACAGCGTCAATATATAATGACCAAATATAAAACATCGCCAATACATAATGACAACATATACCACATCGCCAATACATAATGACAACATATACCACAGCGTCAATACATAATGACAAATATACCACAGCGTCAATACATAATGACCAAATATACCACATCGCCAATACATAATGCCACAATATACCACAGCGTCAATATATAATGACCAAATATAAAACATCGCCAATACATAATGACAACATATACCACATCGCCAATACATAATGACAA